GATCAAGTGGAAATCAAGAATCCACTATGGCAAACGGGAATGGAGAAACTGAGTGAGAGCATTGCTGGTCGACTTGGCTATAAGGGCATCTCCATGCAATGCAAGCTGTACAAGCTGCTGGTGTACGGAGAAGGAGGCCATTTTAAGAAACATCAAGACACCGAGAAAGAGGACGGAATGGTGGCAACGTTGGTGGTGCAGCTGCCTAGTTTGCATGAAGGAGGAAACCTGGTGGTCTATCGAGGTGGAGAAGTGAAATATTGCGATGCTTTTGGCAAGAAGGAGGGTACAGCGGAATATCTTCCGCACTATGCGGTTCACTATGCTGATGCAGAACATGCCCTAGAAAAGGTGACAAAAGGGTATCGACTTGTGCTCGTGTACTCGATTTGCCTCCCATCAATGATGCGGCATTTGATGAGGAAGAGTGATGAGACGTTAGGAGAGGAGCTTGGTGCTGTGATAAACAGCATGGATGACGACGAGTCATTTGCTCTGTTATTGGCCCATGAGTATACGGAGAAAAGCATTGAAGAGATGGGCTCTGGAGCATTGAAAAGTGTGGATCGAGCGAGATTCCAGACGCTGCAGGATTCTAACAGTGTTGCTGCGCCTGGTAAGGCGCTGCAGTTCTTTATCGCACGACTAAACCATGATATCAGCTACTGGGACGATGGAGGTTCCTGGGTGGAAAATAGTCGGGATGAATCGATTGTATGGTACTCTACGACTGGTGAGAAGCTGGGCAAATCTCCAGGCATTGAATTGCACCTCAACTTACTGAACCCTGGTAAGGAAACTCTAAAAGAGCTGTGGGAGCCGCATGGCAACAGCACCTTTGAGGGGTATCTTGGCAACGAAGGAGCGACGAAGAGCACTACGTACTCTCGGTATGCGATCGTAGCCTGGCCTGCAGTACACGGTGTGGAGAAGGCGTGCCAGCTCATCAACGTAAATGCTGCTGTGGAGGCTTTGCAATGCCAGAGACCGGTGAACGCTTTAACACTCCGCAAGTTTATGGAAAACGTGAGTGCAAAGTTAGCAGAAGAGAAACAGAGCTACTCATGGCGTCGAAGCAATACTGTATCTGTCGGTTTCTGCCGAACTCTGTGCGAATTGCTGGTAGAGGCTGGCGACTCATCCTTGGTCCACTTATTCTTCGTAAACACCATGAACAAACTGAACAGATCCATCAAGAACGAGATTGCAGCCCCATTAACTGCACTCATCCGTAATTTCGACTGGAGCGACATTGGACAAGAACTGCTCGAGTCTTTGAGCAACGAAGGCGATCGTAATGATGTCGGGGTTGTTGTAAAGACTGACGACTCGTGCATGAAGATTACGCTGTGTATTGTCGATGGTCTCGAAGCTGGGGTTGCTCGGAAGGCATTGCTACAAAAGGCAGCAGAGGAAGCTTCGAAACTTCGCGAAGACAAACTCTGTTCGTCAGAGGCTATGGGGCTGCTTTGTAAGTGGGCGATCCTATGTCAAGACAAGACCATTTTCTACCCAGTGACGGCTAAATTCAAGCAAACCGATCCGAAGTTGTTACAGCCAGTGATCGAAGCATTCTCGCAGCATATGAGCGGTATGGATGCGTCCGAAGAACGGTTTAATGTGCTCGTTTCGATTGCTAAGAGAAGATGTGAGTGGTTGAACGACCAACTCCAAGCACTGGGGAAGCCCTTCTCTTGGGATATGCCCGACGCCTATTTCCCAGACAACGCTAAGGTGCAGGCGTTTCTACGAGGCCCCAATGAATCTATGAACACAATTGGCGTGCGGCATTTCAACGGAGTCAGTCACGCTCGCAACTACGCCAAGAAGTGGATGCGTGAAAAACAAATCAATGCGTCGTTTACTTTGGAGCCTGATGGAAGAGGTCAGGGCGCGTACGTTGTTGTGAAGAAGACACGGGCCTGGTTTTCGGAACACCAGAAGAAATTGCTGGAGTACAAGACAGAGTTTAACCTCCTTTCCACGCGCTTTGGAGCAGCTTCTGGAGGCATGCCAAGAAAGCGAACTCGCCATGAGTAACCGACAAAGTTACCTTTCTAATTCGAAGTAGGTCGGATCTTAGGGACCGTCCAGTGAGTAGCAACATTGAAAAAAAAACGGGATGTTACGGCTAATCAAGGAAACTAGCGTGATGCTAGCCCAACTTTAGCCTCGATGGTCTCATGGTCCAGTGCGAGCACGTTTAGCGGCGGGGACGTGACGTCGCCAAAGCGGTCCGTCAGCAACTTGAGTTCGTCCTTGTACAGTTCGGCATCACCGTGTTGCTTGTTGTACCACGTCCGCGTCTTAGTGATCGTCAAATAAGCGTCTTTTCCTCTGCCTCCGAGTTCCATCTTGAACGAACAATTGGTTTGCTGGGCGCTGTTGGCGTACTTGCGAGCTGCGGGGAGACCGCTAAAAACACGCACTCCAGTGGTGGTCATGGGCATCTCGTGGCCTCTTAGAAACGCTTGAATCCGAGCGTTGTCAGGGAACACAGCGTTCGGCATCTCCCAACTAAAAGGTTTCACTGTGTGCCCTTGCACTTGACTCTTAAGCCAGGTCATCCGGACAGCAGCAATCGACGTCAGAACTTCGAACTTCTCGTCCGATGAATCGATGCCACCCACATGTTCCGAGATCGCTTCAACAACTAAACGCAGTTGAGAAGGTTCCAGTTGCTGAAATTTCTCCGCCAAAGTGTCGAATGTGCTCTTATCTGCACTGCGGATTACCCATTTCCAAAGCGATCCAAGGGCTGTACTAGAGCATACGCGCTCCGTGCGGAGATTCACGGCGTCGATTGTAGTAGTGCTAGCTTAGCAGACCCATCATCCAGACCATCCAGAATCTGAAGCTTCACCACCAAACTAGCATCTCCAACTTCAGTCATGCGACCAAAGCTGTAACTAGTGGCTTCAGTCTTCTCCTCTAACGAGCTCAGCACTGCTTGACTAATGTCGCTCCATTGATACTTGCGTACTAATGCGATAATGGTCGGCACCAGGTTATCCTTGGCCCTCGCGTTGCTGCACACCTTGGTGAAGAACTCGTTCACCAGCGCAGAGTCGTCAGCCTCCAGAAGCAGATCACACAGGATTCGCGAAAAATCCGGCATCACACCAACTCTCTTCTTTGGCTCACCGTACGAATACGCCCGCGAGCGCGTGAACTCTGCTTGCATATTAGAAATCTTGTCGCCCACATCATTCATGAACGTGCGGAGTGTTCCAGGAGCCACTGGTCTCTGAGACTGCAGAGCCTCAATCGCAGCAGTCGAGCTGATCAGCCTCAACGAATTCTCCACGCCGTTTGCCATGGACAAGTGCCGAAAAAAATTGGCACCAAAGTAATTTTGATAAATATTAGCGAATTATTTATTTTGATGCTCAATCCTAAACGTATCCATAATTTATTTTTGTGACACATTAACACAGGTACTTCATGAAGGAATTTACTTTAAATTATGCCAAACAATCTCTACCAGTCATTGCGCTGCCACGTCTGACCAATTTTGCGATCATCACTTTCAAATCCACCAACAACGCCAGCAACTCTCATGGTCCTTGCCCCTCGTCGCCACCCTCGCTTCACTCCGTCTCAAGTGGCTGGGTTTTTCTTTCAGCCGTGCCGCGACGACTACGATGAAGTTATCCCCGAATATCATCGTTGTCGTTGCGGCACTGTA